GGTACACAGCCTAGGGACACAGCCTAGATACACAGCCTAGGTACACAGCCTAGGTAGACAGCCTAGGTACACAGCCTAGGTACACAGCCTAGGTACACAGCCTAGATAGACAGCCTAGGTACACAGCCTAGTACACAGCCTAGATACACAGCTAGGGACACAGCCTAGGTACACAGCTAGGTAGACAGCCTAGGTACACAGCCTAGGTACACAGCCTAGATACACAGCCTAGGTACACAGCCTAGTACACAGCCTAGGTACACAGCCTAGGGACACAGCCTAGGTACACAGCCTAGGTAGACAGCCTAGGTACACAGCCTAGGTACACAGCCTAGGTACACACACAGCCTAGGTACACAGCCTAGGTACACAGCCTAGATACACAGCCTAGGTACACAGCCTCGGTACACAGCCTAGGTACACAGCCTAGATACACAGCCTAGATACACAGCCTAGATACACAGCCTAGATACACAGCCTAGGTACACAGCCTAGGCACACAGCCTAGGCACACAACCTAGGCACACAGCCTAGGTACACAGCCTAGATAGACAGCCTAGGTTACACAGCCTAGGTACACAGCCTAGAACACAGCCTAGATACACAGCCTAGGTACACAGCCTAGATACTCTACTCTGGCTACGCTCTGGAACTCGCCCTCACAAGGTCGTAGAGTCGGGAGTTCCAGAGTCCCACCACTCGCTCTCACAGCATCCCAGGGTCCTCACATGGCTGGTCTTGGGTCTTGGGTCTTGAGCTACAACTGGCTGATCGTCCAGGGAGCTCCTTTTTATGCCTCGTCCCCAACGAGGGGTGGGACTGTGTGCGCCCCCAGATATCCCACAGAGCACACACAGCCCCCCCCCCCTTTGGCGGCTCAAAGGGGATTAAACGCCTGACGCCAAGAGGCTTAAGCGTCTGACCCTCCCAGGGTCCCAGAGCCCCCCAGCAGCCCCTCCCTTCTTATGTCACTGCACAGTAATGCACACAGACAAATATTCAGTGGGTGAGATCATCATTCATGGATACGGACAATTATACGCAAAGCACGCACGCGCGCGCAATAACGTTTTCCATCTTCTGGTTCTTTCGGTAAAGGTCACGTAGAAGGGAAGTAATAAAAGAATAAAATAAAACAATAAAATAATAGAATTCTCACGACGTTTCGGCCACAACGCAAGCCAGCCGTCCTCAGGTGAAGAATGAAACACCCACCAAGCTTGGAGCGTCTATTTAAGCTGGGTTGGAGGGGGGGAGGTGGAAGAAGAGCACCTTACAACATAATTTGCTTCTAGATTTGAAGCTTTCGTGACTGCAAGATTCATATTCTTAGGTTTTTTTGCGGTAAAGTCACGTAGGTCAAAAAACATTAAAAAGTAAAATAAAATAAAAAATAAAAATCACGACGTTTCGGAGGTGGTACCGTCACAGCCACGACAGCTGTATCAAGTACATGAGAGATTGTAGGAGCCACCACTCCGTTTATATAATGGTTGGAGAGGGGGGAGCGGCAAGTACAGCACACTTTTTATTCATATGGTAAGGTGAGGCTTAAGAGGGTGAGCCTTTGTTAGGTTCTCTGCAAACCTCCTGGCTACCATCAAAGGTTTGTACACGAAGCCATACAAATATACAAACACAGACATAATTTCAACCGTGATGATGGTTACAAACTGAGTAATCATTGGAAAGATGTGATTAACCATGCAAAAAAGATTTAACTACACTTATTTGGCCAATCTTATTTGACAGACAACTATTACAGGTTTACCATGCTCAGTTGTTTTCCTCCTTGTCACAGGTTGAGTCACAAACCGCACCTCTCCATAACAAAGGCTCAGCCTTTGTTATGCAGTCTATTCGTAGTCTTAAGCCTCACCTTACCATATTAATAAAAAGTGTGCCGTACTTGGCCGCTTCCCCCCTCTCCAACCATTATATAAACGGAGTGGTAGCTCCTACAATCTCTCATGTACTTGATACAGCTGTCGTGGATGTGACGGTACCACCTCCGAACGTCGTGATTTTTATTTTTATTTTATTTACTTTTTAATGTTTTTTGACCTACGTGACTTTACCGCAAAAAAACCTAAGAATATGAATCATTGCAGTCACGAAAGCTTCAAATCTAGAAGCAAATTCTTTTGTCAAGGTGCTCTTCTTCCACCTCCCCCCCTCCAACCCAGCTTAAATAGACGCTCCAAGCTTGGTGGTGTTTCATTCTTCACCTGAGGACGGCTGCTTGCGTTGTGGCCGAAACGTCGTGCGAATTCTATTATTTATTGTTTTATTTTTATTATTTTATTATTTCCCTTCTACGTGACTTTACCGAAAGAACCAAGAAGATGAATCCCTGCAGTCACGAAAGCTTTAAATCGAAATTTTACGTTTTACATCTTTTATACTTTAATGGTTCGTCAATTTTTTGAGTTTCATCATTAGACCTCCTTTGCCAGTTTCAAAATAGAATTCAGGTAGGTAAAACATAAAAGTAATTATATTTTATTAATTTTTATTTAATTTTTGTTAACCTCCTGGACTTTAAACCGAAAGAAACCTAAAGAGTATGAATCCTTGCAGTCAAGGATTCATACGCTTGCAGTCAAAACACTCCCCACTCACTCCCCACTAACTCCCCAATAGACTCTACAAAACACTCCCCAAAACACTCCCCACACACTCCCCAATAGACTCTACAAAAACACTCCCCACTCACTCCCCAACAGACTACAAACACTCCCCAAAACACTCCCCACTCACTCCCCAATAACCTCTTCAAAACACTCCCCAAAACACTCCCCACACACTCCCCAATAGACTCCCAAAAAAACCTCCCCAAAACACTCTCCAAAACACTCCCCAAACACTCCCCACACACTCCCCAATATACTCCCAAAAAAACTCCCAAAACACTCCCCACACACTCCCCAAAACACTCCCCACTCACTCCCCAAAAACACTCCCCACACCACTCCCCAATAGACTTCCCCAAAACACTCCCCAGAACCACTCCCCACACACTCCCCAATAGCCTCCCAAAACACTCCCCAAAAACACTCCCCATACTCCAATCCAACAACCTCCCCCTCCCCACACTCACTTCCCCAATTATACTCCCCAAAACACTCCCCAATAGCTCTACAAAACACTCACCCACTCACATCCCCCCTCACTCCCCAATATACTCCCCAAAACCCGTCCCAAAACACTCTCCAAAACACTCCCAAAACAATCCCCACTCACTCCCCAAAAACACTCCCCAATAGACTTCCCAAAACACTCCCCCAAAACACTCCCCACACACTCCCTAATAGACTCCAAAAACACTCCCCAAAACACTCCCCACTCACTCCCCAAAACACTCCCCACACACTCCCCAATATACTTTCCAAACCACTCCACAAACACTCCCCGCGCACTCCCCAAAAACACTCCCCAAAACACTCCCAAAATACTCCCCACGCACCTCCCACTCACTCCCAATAAACTCCCAAAAGCACTCACCAAAACACTCCCCGCGCACTCCCCACACACTCCCCCACTCACTCCCCAAACACTCCCCAAAACACTCCCCAAAACTCCCCAAAACACTCCCCAAAACACTCCCACACACTCCCCACACACTCCCCACTCACTCCCCACGCACTCCCACTCACTCCCCCAAACACTCCCCACGCACTCCCAAATAGAATCCCCAAAACACTCCCCCAAACACTCCACAAAACACTCCCACACCACTCCCCACACACTCCCCCACTCACTCCCCACGCACTCCCCACTCACTCCCCAAAACACTCCCCACGCACTCCCAAAGAGACTCCCAAAACACTCCCCACACACCCCTCACTCACTCCCCAAAACCTCCCCAAAACTCTCCAAAACACTCCCCACTCACTCCCCACGCACTCGCCCCACGCAAGCACACACACAACATCAAACATCAACACCCAGTTAATGAATCGTGAATTTCGGTCATGGAAGAAGCAGAGGAAGAGAAAACAAAGACTACTAAAAATTATTACGAAATAAGATTATTAAAAAGATTCTATAAATATTGTACACTGTCAAGAACGCAGGCGCAAATATGGCAAAGCACTTTCAAGGTAGCACAGTGTTGGAGTTTTGGTTGACGTCTGGTGATCCGTACGATGCATCATTCTGATTTCGTGTAGGCGGCCGGGTTTTTTTGGGAGGGTTCAGGTTCAGTCGAAGTTACCTTTGTTGAGTAACAGCTCTTTAAATACACGTGTGTGTGTGTATATTCTGTACAGCGGGCTCCGTGTAATTGCTTCTTGATGTATTTTCATTACGGTCTAAGTTATAATGAAGACACGTGCGCACACCACACGGACAAAAATCCCCCTCCTCCACCTCCTCCCACCACCTCCTCCCTCTCCTCCACCTCATCCACCCCTCCAACATCTCCGCCACCTCCTCCATCTCCATCCACCTCCTCCACCTCCTCCACCTCCTCCATCTCCTCCACCTCCTCCACCTCCTCCATCTCCTCCACCTCTCCCACCCTCTCCTCCATCTCCTCCACCCTCCACCACCTCCTCCACCTCTCCACCATCTCCTCCACCTCCTCCTCCATCTCCCCATCCTCCCCCATCTCCTCCATCTCTCCATCTCCTCCCACCCCTCCTCCACCACCTCCACCACCTCCTCCCACCTCTCCACCTCCTCCATCTCCTCCCACCTCTCTCCACCTCCTCCCACCACCTCCTCCCACTACCTCCACCTCCTCCATCTCCTCCACCTCCTCCCACCTCTCTTCCACCTCCTCCCCCCACCTCCTCCCCTACCTCCACCTCCTCCATCTCCTCCACCTCTCCTCCATCTCCTCCATCTCCTCCCACCACCTCCCTCTCCTCCACCTCCTCCCCTCTCTTCCACCTCCTCCCACCACCTCCCTCCCACTACCTCCACCTCCTCCATCTCCTCCTCCACCTGCTCCCACACCTCCTCCCACCACCTCCTCCACCTCCTCCCACCCCTCCCCATCTCCTCCATCTCCTCCATCTCCTCCACCATCTCCTCCACCTCCTCCACCTCCTCCCCCCACCATCCCTCCATCTCCTCCCTCCTCCCCTCTCCTCCTCCCTCCATCTCCTCCTCTCTCCCACCTCTCCTCCACCTCCTCCCCTCCCCCCACCATCTCCTCTCCTCCACTCCTCCACCTCCTCCACCACCTCCTCCTCCTCTCCTCCATCTCCTCCACTCCTCCATCTCCTCTACCTCCTCTACCTCCTCCCACCTCCCATCCACCTCCCCCCACCTCCTCCTCCACCTCCTCCATCTCTCCACCTCCTCTATCTCCTCCACCTCCTCCCCCCTCCTCCACTCCTCCACCTCCCTCCCCCATCTCCATCTCCTCCACCTCCTCCCACCATCTCCTCCATCTCCTCCACCTCCTCCCCCACCTCCTCCATCTCCTCCACCTCCTCCCACATCTCCTCCTCTCCTCCACTCCTCCAACCTCCCTCCATCCCTCCCCTCCCCACCTCCCCACTCTCTCCACTCCTCCACCTCCTCCACCATCTCCTCCTCCATCTCCTCCATCTCCTCCTCTCCTCCTCCATCCTCCTCCACCTCCTCCCACCTCTCCTCCATCTCCTCCACTCCTCCCACACCTCCTCCATCTCCTCCACCTCCTCCACCATCTCCTCTCCCTCCTCCATCCCTCCCACCATCTCCTCCACCTCCTCCACCATCTCCTCCATCTCTCCACCTCTCCACCTCCTCCACCTCCTCCCACCATCTCCTCCACCTCCTCTCCTCCACCACCTCCTCCCCACCTCCTCCACCTCCTCCACCTCCCCCACCTCCTCCCACCATCCTCCTCCCCCATCTCCACCACCTCCGCCATCTCCTCCCCTCCTCCACCTCCTCCACCTCCCCCACCACCTCCTCCCACCTCTCCTCCCACCATCTCCACCACCTCCTCCATCTCCTCCACCTCCTCCACCTCCTCCACCCTCCACCTCCCCACCATCTCCTCCACCTCCTCCACCCCTCCTCCACCATCCTCCTCCACCTCCTCCATCTCCTCCATCTCCTCCCACCACCTCCTCCATCTCCACCACCTCCTCCACCTCCTCCACCTCCCCACCACCTCCTCCCCCATCTCCTCCACCATCTCCACCCCACCACCTCCTCCATCTCCTCCACCTCCTCCACCTCCCACCTCTCCTCCACCTCCTCCACCACCTCCTCCACATCTCCTCCACCTCCTCCATCTCCTCCATCCCCCCACCACCTCCTCCATCTCCACCACCTCCTCCACCTCCTCCACCTCCCCACCCCCTCCTCCACCTCCTCCACCTCCTCCACTCCTCCCTCCCCACCATCTCCTCCATCCCTCCATCTCTCCCACCATCTCCTCCACCTCCCTCCACCTCCTCCACCATCCCCTCCACCATCTCCTTCATCTCCTCCATCTCCTCCACCTCCTCCCACCATCTCCTCCACCTCCTCCATCTCCTCCACCTCCTCCCACCATCTCCTCCCACCATCTCTCCGTCCCATCCCCCCCCCCCCCCTCCACTGAATTCTGTATTCGCGAATCGTAAACGTGGCCCCGGGGTCACGAAATGATGGCAACTTGAATCGGCAGTCGATGAGGCTACGGCGGAACGCGCAGACAGCCAAGTCCAGCGGTGATTAAACACCTGGGCGAGAGGTGCGCGCGTGCCTGTGTGTGTGTGTGTGAAGAGTGTGAGAGATGTGTGGGTGTGTGAAAGAGTGTGAGAGAGTGTGTGAGTGTGTGTGAGTGTGTGTGAGAGTGTGTGAGTGTGTGAGGTGTGAGTGTGTGTAGAGTGTATGTGAGTGTGTGAGAGTGTGTGAGAGTGTGATGTATAAGAGTGTGTTAGTGTGTTGAGTGTGTAAGTGTGTGTGAGAGTGTGAGAGAGTGTGAGAGTGTGTGAGTGTGTGAGTGTGTGTGAGTGTGTGAGTGTGTGTGAGTGTGTGTGAGAGTGTGAGAGTGTGTGAGTGTGAGAGAGAGTGTGAGAGTGTGAGAGAGTGTGAGAGTGTGAGGGTGTGTGAGTGTGAGAGAGTGTGAGAGAGTGTGAGAGAGTGTGAGAGTGTGTGAGTCTATAAGAGTGTGTGAGTGTGTGTGTGAGGGTGTGTGAGAGTGTGTGAGAAATTGTGTGAGTGTGAGAGAGTGTGTGAGTGTGTGAGTGTATGACAGTGTGTGTGAGAGTGTGAGAGTGTGAGTGTGTATGAGAGTGTGTGAGTGTGTGTGAGTGTATGAGAGTGTGTGAGTGTGTGTGAGAGAGTGTGTGAGTGTTTTGAGAGTGTGAGAGTTGTGTGTATGAGACAGTGTGTGCTGCAAACCCGGCTACTCGAGTTTGATTCCCGCTCATGACCAGCACCCAATAACAATTATCTAAACCGGCCCTGGGATCCCCTAGGTCGACTCAGCCTCAAATAATTACCTGGTGCAGTGTGTAGCAAACATCGCCACTGCGGAGACAAAGGCGGTCGGGCGTGGTGCTGGCCACCCACCCCCTCGTGTGCCGTGCCGGCC